CTCTGGCGGGACTGATGGGGGTATGAATCGGAGAAAAGGGAGGCTTTGACGAGCTTTGATCCAGGGTTCGTGGGTTTTCGCTGTTGATGGCGAATGGTATAAATGCATCCCTGACGGGACAATGTCTGAGACGATGGTTCCCACTGGACTGCCATAGGGGAATGTTGGCTTAAGTTCGAACGGCTTGTTGGTATCGGCGGAGAAAGCCAGGCGAAGAGCAGCAAGTTGAGACTGCAATTCCGTCATAGGCATGAAGAGCTGCATGATTCGAGAACCCTCATATGCCGAGTAAAGTATGACCTGGAATCTTTGTTGAATTCTGGGTCTGGCGAAGTGATAGCAACAAGGTGTAGCATGACGCTGGTTAGGATGCAGTAGATGGAGAAGTTGATTCCTCGCTGCATGCACAGAAAACCTGATACGCCAAACGACGAGATCAGGGCCTCCTGGAGTCGGCAGAGTGCTTTGGCCGAGCTGTAGCATATCGAGAAATGGTGTCTCCATTCTCCGCCTGCCGGGAACGAGCTGGCGGCGACAAATTGGGGGCGATGTAGCATAATCTTGGCTAGTTCAAAGTGCGAATGCATGTTTGCGACAAAATGTGACGGGATCCATGGAGGCGAACCGTCTGGTGGGTAGGTGACCATGAGATCTGGTGGCAGGCTGCTATACCATGCTTCGAAAAGAGGATTGTTGCGGGCAAACTGCGGGTTTGCACCCCAGTCCTTGGTCTTTTTCACTTTGTGGAAGACATCGACTATGCGACGAATGTTGAGAGCGTTATGTACGAAGTAGCTGAACTGTCGTGATCGTTCGACTTCGTATGCATCGAGGTTGGGGATATCCCAGGACGGGCGGACCTCCACCGTATCCGTCTCCACGCCGAAATCCGAGCGGCCTGTTAAGCGTTAGTATTGATACATGGGATACATGGATGCCTATAATTTTTCAGTATTATAGGGCGACGTACCTTGAGGTCCTCCAACCATGATCTCAACAACGAGAATAGTCTGCCACACACGGGTGCGAATGAGGCACTCTACGGTGTCATAGCCACACAGCCGGCCCTCGGCATGGTATTGGTAATGCTCATGCAGCTCGAGATCCTTGACATGGAGATGATCGTCTTGATCGTCTGCCATGAACGGTAGTAGTAACCTGGGAGCGCGGCATGGCTTCTCGAGCCTTC